GGGTTTTTTCCCTCCAGTAGCTCAGCTGTCTTAAGAGAAATGTAAATGGAAGCATTTGGAGTACTTTGTCCATTTTTGGGCTCCTCAGTATTAAGATACTGACTGACCTTCTGGAGTGAGTACAGCAGGACACCAAGATGATGAAGGCTTGAGCACATGAGAAACTGCTGTTTTAAGAGGAGCAGGCTTAAAAGGGAGAACTTGTTGCTCTCCTCATCTCTTCAGTGGAAGAACATAGAGAATGCAGGGCCAGACTCCTCTTACAGCTGTGTGCTGAGAGTGCAAAGAGCAGTGAACAAAGGCAACAAGATAAATTCATGTTAAATAGTAGGAAGAAAATTCATAATGGGGTAGTTGAACTTTGGAAGAGTTTGGCCAGAGAGGTTATGAATATTAGCCCTTGGAGGTATGCAGAGTTTTACCAGCCAAGGCCTTAAGGATCTTGCTCTGAGATTGTCCTTGCTTTCTCTAGAGCTTTTTCCAATCTCTCTACACTCTGTCTAACAATTGCCTACCACTTACCTACATCTTTCTCGTGGGATACATAATAACATACAAGTGCATGGTTCCTTCTTCTTGAACATCTTTTTAAAGTACTCTTTCATTTTAACTCTCTCTGTGAAATTCTGATCTAAGAGATATTCTTAGCAGAACCAAATATAAGCTAACAGGTGTTTTGCACCTCTAGTTTAGAGGTGTTATTAGCAGAGTAGCTGTCCAAATTGCCTCTGCTAAAAGGATGCTATCTAGCCTTAAAAAAAATAAAAGGCGTATGATAATGGAACTGTATTTTTGAGATAATATTTCTTTGTTTGGTACCTTCAGAAACCAAGAAATAGCATGATATTGGTTACAAGTTTACATTAATCTAGCAATGATGATGTGAGAATCTCTTAAATTTTCACCACACAGAAGACTTTGAGTAACTTTTGTATCCAAACTGCTCAAACTTTAAAATATTGGAGTCTAGTTTGGTCAAATATGCATAGGCTAGTAATAATAACCTTGCAAAACCACAGTGTATTTGTAGGGGTTGTGACTATTACACATCTGATTGGTGTGAATGTGAAAGCTGATTATCCAATTGACACCTTAAAGACTCTGCATTACCCCTCCAAGTAGCAATTTATGTTAATAGCATAAATTGCTATTAAGAGCTCTCTAACATTTTAAGGGTTTTTAAACAGTACAACTTCAGACACCTACTCTTCTCAGTCCTCAGAAAAATTGGAAATATGAACAAAGGCATTAGTGTTTAACAAGATATATTTCTGTAGAACTCCGGAAGAGCAATTCCTCTTTAGAAATCAGCATGGAAGGATGTTAAGTGCTGATGTGGTGCTGTTGAAGCCTGTGAATGTTGCAGACTAGTTCATTAGGAGAAAGAAAACATGCTAAAACATTTATTTCATGATTTGTTGTTCCACAAGTCAAGTTTCTACGTCATTGTAAGTGTCACTGTTGTAGGTATAATAGGGAATTAGCTATGGCTTTTAAGGTCTAATTTGGGTTTGTTTTCTCTTAACAGCAAGCTATAAGTTAAACATAATTGATAAGAAAAAGGAAGACACAGATTTTGTTGGTGACTTTTTTTTATTTTTCATGGAGTAATTTTGGAGTGTGTAAGGAAGTAGTGACAGGCTTAACAATGTATTATAAAGGATTGAAAGGGTCAAAAGTGAAGAACAGCATCAGTGAGAATTACCTGAAAGTAAATTCGCACTTTTTTCAAATGAATGAATTTGCATTTTTGATCTGCTTATTGTTTTGGGCTTTTTCTTTATTGATTTGGCAGTAGAAATAGTATTGTATCTCTGGTGGTTTAGTTTTATTCCGTTCCAAAGGAATACAAATTATTATTTTTGTGATTGAGTTGGAAGTCTCCATTGCGTTTTTTTGAGGGAGAATAGTATCTTATAGTGACTGCAGATTGTGAATGTAAGGATGTTTTAAATCATTCTAAAAATGTCTGAACTGCATGAGAGTTATTTTCAAAGCTAGTTTGAAAATAGGGATCTGGGTAGGAATAAACGGCCATCTCTTCAGCACAACTGAAAATCCAGAAGACAGTGTAAAATTTAATACCTAAAATGTATCAACTTATGTTCTAACCAGTGTTTTTTAACAATTCATAGGTCTTATTCCTACTACATTGAGGTGTCCATGGATGAATTAGACTGGATTCGGGTTATCGATCACTCCAAGTACCTCTGTCGGTCCTGGCAGAACCTGTATTTTCCTGCCCGTGTCTGCAGGTTAGTTCATCAGTGTAACATTGCACAGCTAACAATAAAGAATGTGGGCACCAGAATAAGTTGCTGGATTTTGCTACTGCATTATGTATTTCTAAAAGTGCATTATATACACAACTTTTATCAACTATCCTAAAATTTTCTATCTTAGTGGATGATTTTTTAATGTAAATATAGTTGATAAAATGTATTTTTTTACCCTGGTTCTTTCATATCTACTTTTTTTTTTTTTTGACTCATATTCATGCTTTTTTGCAGCTGATATGATTTTTTTCCACTCAGTAGTTAACATTATTCCTTGACAGCTTAAATGTTTATAATGCATTTACGTACTTACTATAGAACGTGGAAATGTATCTTTATATATTTTATGTATTTTTTACTGATGCACTGAGAGACTGTTTTAAAGTTGTCAAAGAGTGAAAGGAGGTTTGAGCAATGCCTTGTGTAACCCAAAATATCTAGATGGGTTTAAGCATTATTAAGGTGATGATTTTTTTTTAGCTGTAGGTGCTGGGAATTCTGGGAAAAGCTTATCATCAGATTGAAGCTGTTTTATCCAAAAATTGAATTGAGGGAGAGGCCACAGTCTGTAGATATCCAAGATACTGTTGTCATTAGGTTTTGGGTTATAGACCCAAGGAGGAAATTACGTGTACTGTGATTGTTTTGGAGACGCAAAGTTTTTATTTGGCACAGCTCTTGGAATCCCTAAGGAGGGAAGTGCTTTCTTCTTCCCAAAGAATGACATCTCTCTCTCTGATCTTTACTACTCTGCAGCACTGGATTGCTGGCAAGCAGTTGTAGTCTATGGGGAAGGGGTCTGATGGGTCACTTGTCCTCAGATAAATCTTTCTCAACCTTGCTGTCCTTTACTAAAAGTTCATACTGAATGTAACTGACTTGGAATTTATTTTTCCCAATACAAACAAATACATTCTCACCTTTTCCCTGTAACTTTTTTAATTCTACTGTTACCATTTTCTCTTTCTGAAATGGTTGGTCCAGTCCCTTAGTTTGTGTGTGTATTGATAAATTTTTGCTTAAAGGTGTCTGTGATAAATCACCTAGCGCTGAGAAAATGTCTCGTGAGTTGGTAGTTGTTTTGCATTTCCTGGGGGTATTTTTCCGTGTGTGACTTTAGCTTCATTCAAATTGGATGGATTGTTAGTATGCACAGGGTTTTCTCGCTTGCATCATGTTACCAAGATAATGTCCAGGGACTTCTCTGTTGTGGTGGGACTTCCCTAAATCATTTTTTCAAAAGAGCTGCCATTCTTCGGCTCATTTAAATCTTGTCCAAAAGTGACTATTCTATTTCAGCAACAGTTTATCTGTTTGCCAACCCCCTCCCAGGTGTCTTCATCTGGATTTGAGTGTGCGTGTGCTGTCTTTTGAGAGTGTCATTGTTCTGTTTCGGTGAAGGCTCTTTGTAGCCTTGCCTGAAAGTGCAGAGAGGGAATAGAGAAGGGGAAAACATAATTCCAAAGTTTTGGAAGATACCTTACTCATTTTTTGGCACAGTAGGATCTCTTGTACTTTCTAGCTCTCCAATGATTTCTTAATCTTCTGCGAATGACTTGCCCTCTTTTGAAGGAGCAGATTATCAGGAGGGAGTTCATTTCATGTGGTGCTTTCATATGCATGGGGATACAGTTTCTGCATGCACAAGCACATCTGGGATCCTCCCCCTTGCAGTGTTATTGTAGCACACATTGGAAGTGTACAATTGTCCAGATAACTACAGCAGAAATTTCCTTATTGCATCATTCTCATACCTCAGATTTTTTCTGTTCTGCTCCATGATCCACAGGAAACATGTTCTATTCTATAAATCTCTGTTCCTCATTGTCATATCCACAAAGTGATGGGGAATTCCTTGGAGGTGCAACTTCTTTGAAGAGCAAATGAAAAAGTCATGTAGTAGCATAAGTTTATGTGTACTTATTGTTAAGGAGCAGTAACCTTAAGGCGCTCACCTTAAAGTAAGTTCTGAGTTGAGTCAACATAATAATTCTTGGTAGTTTAAATAAGGCTGTTCTGTAATCTCTTTTATGTGTTTTTCCTGTAAATAATAAGAAACTTCAAATGTAATTAGAGCTGTAAAATTGTTGACAAATTTTTGAGGAGTTGCACTTCAAGAACTATTTATTTATTTATTCACATTAACATAAATAGTTAGGTGTAACTTGAAGGTTGGCTCTGCTTTGATCTGGAATTTGGACCAAATTCTCTCCAGAAGAGAGACTTTGAGCAGGGGAGACTATGTACATTTACATATTAGTGTTAGAGACTTTTATTTGTCTGTCTTTTAATTAATATTCTGTTTAGAAAGAACTAGGCAAGGACTACTAAACTTTTTTTTTTCTCTGATTTCATTGTTTTGTGATTATGTTTTTAAAGTAGTTTTGTTTATTTAAATGAGTTAAACTGGTTACTTCTAGGATACTATAATGCATAAGACAGAAACCTTAAAATGTGTAGTGTTTTTTTGTCACCTAAAAACTAGGTGTTCTCCAGTCTTGTGAGCACAGACTTAAAATTGACCTAATATGAGGTTATGTGAGAATTTGTTCTTTTAACATTTGATATTTTTGTGGTTAAGTTATGCATGCTTATCAAAGGGCAGATATATTTCTGGTTTTTTATGTGCCCTGTTTTATCAGCAGATAATAAAAAGAAACCCATTATTTTATTTGAAGACATAAATGCCTACCTCATTTTTAGAGAAAGACTATAATGTAACTCAGCAAATCACTCCTATTTATTAGCACTTGGTTAATCAATAATTTTTTCATCCAATGCTAGTTACATTTTCATGTTGCTCAGTGCTGTTTCTGTTGTATACTCAAGTTAGTGTGGCAAGTCCTGGTGCCTAAATTTTCTTGTTAATGGACAAACAGTACAGAGGAGTGGGTTGCAAGCATCATGTTTTGCTCTGTCTTCTTGCTGTTGGTTTTCGCATTTATTCCCTTTTTGCCATAGTAATGCAGATAATATTTTTGGAAGGAACCACCTCGGGAACCATGCTGCAAGTTTTTAAATTTTTTTAAAGGTTTTTTTTTTTAGCAGAAGATCATGGACTAAGTGTCTTAGGAGTATAGGCTTGAGATAGGTGGTGATTTGGGTTTTTTCATTAACAAAAAAAAAAAAAAAAAAAGGTTATTTTAGCCCAAAGTGCTTTATGACATCACTATATAGGATGACATTTTGAGAAGCATCAAAGAATTGGAGGCTAGAATTACTGGCTGGGTGTTTTTATTTACACACCATTTTTCAAAGCGAGGGAGTAGAACATGCCAGATTCTGTACAGGTTGTTGAAGGACAGCCAGTTTGTGTCTGATACACCAGAGCAATTGTTCAAACAGATTATAAAGAGGATATGAGCCCTGTAACATTAGGCAAGGTTAGTTGCCTTTTTGAGTTACCTTCCCCATAAATATTAGTTGTAAAATGTGAGAGCTGTCAAGGGCTGAGCTGATGTGTTCATCCAAGTTTCAAGAAGCTACTCAAACATTTCCACGGGTGTAAAAATTGATGTGGTGTGTCTTCTATTTGCATGTATGCCAGCTGGGGGTTTTGTTTCTCTTTGAAAACTTTTAACTTTTCTCTTAAGCAAATCTATGTAGAAATCTGCAAGTGCCTCTTTCACACTAGATGGATGCAAAAAAATGCACCGTTCCAGCAGTTAGTTGTTAAATAAAACCGATAATTTATACCACAGTGAATTAAGACCATCTCAACCCCCTTAATGAGTCATTTGTTGTGTATGTTGTAGTCTCTGTCGTGACTTTGATTTTTTTGATATATGGAGCACTGTGAAATATTCGCAGTAGTGTTAGAATTAGTGGCATTATTGTGCTCCCCATGAAAGATAATTTGTACTTGGCAAAGCATGTATCAAAACATCCAGACTAATTAGGCAGAGTCAAGTGAGTAACATGATAAGATTATTTACATTCTTTCTTCCTGTTACTACTTGCATGCTCCAGCATATACATTCAGAGTAACTTTTGTCAGCCATAACCTTTGTTAGATTAATAGATGGAAAAAATGGAGGGGCAATAACCAGAGACTGAAATACTAAAATAAAAAGGAGATGAGAAGATTGTTTATGCTTTCTCACACCCATCAAATGATCTACTTGTTATTTATGAAATCTAAATCCTGATTTAGATACACAAGCTAATTTGTACCACAAAGATTATTTATTTGGTGTCGAAGCTTAGTATTACAAGTGAGGGATGTTGCTGTACTTAGAGGGCTTTTAGTAAAAAAAAAAAAAAAAAAAAAGGTTAGTATAATACATGGGGATTTTATTGACAGATTGTGTTTTAGACTTTTAATTTTTGCTTTAAATGCTGTCAGAATACATTATTCTACCACCTTTGAAAATTGAACAGTCCTATAGTATGCAGAAAAAGCAAATAAGAGAGTGAGATTACGGGGCAGATTTTTTTCCCTTTTTTTTTTTAAATATGGTACTGTATTTTTTTAGTATTTCTTTTGGTCATATTTTCATTGTTTGTACTTCTATAGCAATTTTCATGTAGAGCTGAAAACTCTTTAGAGGGAAGATGGGACACAGAAAAAAATTCATGTAATCATCTTTCTGTCAAAGTTAGGAACATGTGTTGTGTTCATAGTTATTCCACCTTCCTCTTGTAACAGTGAATGTTAATACTTGTAAAGATCTTTGAACAGGTAGTGCTGTTTCCTGTTTTATCCTGCTTCCTTTTTTCATCCTTTCATTTTTGATTTGCATTTTCATCTTTTTACTTTGTCCTAGACCACAAAATCTGAAAAACTGCATTAAAAGAATTAGAAGAAAATGAAAATTTTTGAAATCTCAAAATAAGTAAAATATATCCACAAGATGTCACTATAATAAAAGTTTAAAAGACTTAACTTCTTAACTCCTTTGATGACACTGTTATTCCTACTGTGTGCTTTGGTTGTGTATTAAAACTTCCCAGATTTACGGAATCATTCTGGTTTGCTA